TATGATTTATTAACCATAAATATCTTAATTGGTGTTTTTCAGCATCTGATCATGTGAAACATTTTGATTTTACACTCAACAACAGAGCGTTTTGTTCACACACTGACATTGTTCTGTCTCAACACTTCCCAGGTTGCACCGGTGCTCTGGCTCGAGAGATGGCGAAGGCTTATCCGTCCTCCTCCGTCACAGTGTTCGACCTCCCGCAGGTCGTGGAAACGGCTCAGAAACATTTCTCCCAGGAGGACGACACCGTTGTTTTTCAGGACGGTGAGATTCACTCACAGGCAGACTCATGTGTCTGCAGACATTCAGAAGATTCAGAGCTCATACAGATGTGAAATTGATTTAGTATCTGTTCATATATTTGCTGTATGTGTTTTTGTACGTACACTCGTGCAGTTTATTAAGTACAGCTCGCCGTAACTAACGCAGTCTAATACCACAGACCTGAAACAAATCCTCCTGCTGGAGTGTTTGGAGTCGTCATCACTTCACTCAGTTGTCGTGGACGCAGACTTTCACATTCCAATTCTTATACCTTTACTGAAGATCATATGATGTGACTGAAAGCTCCAGAGTCTCTTTTAAATGGATCATTTCGGTGAGATTGTTTTGTTAACGGCTGTTTCCAGTGAATGATGATGAAACCTCAGTTTTATTCAACTTTATGACGATAACTGAGGATTTTCTGATTCCAGAATAATGATACAGTTTAATGAACAACTTCAACAAAATCTAAACACTATCAAGTTCATTAGAGGAGGATTTACTGCAACAGAATAAACTGTGAAGTGACTAACGCTCTGTTCTGTAGGTGATTTCTTCAGTGGAGAGATTCCTGCTGCGGACTTGTACATTCTGGCCAGAATCATTCACGACTGGCCTGAGGAGAAGTGCCTGATGCTGCTGAAGAAGATCTCCGACACCTGCAAACCAGGTGAGTTTACTGAACCTTCTCCACAGGGAATCTTTAAGAGCTTTTTGAAATATTGTATTCTGTGTTTCCTCAATGCTTGTTTTCTGCTCGTGTTCTTCCTCCTCTCCAGGTGGCGGCGTCCTGTTGGTGGAGGCCATGTTGTTTGAGAACCGACGAGGCCCCATCATGGCTCAGATCTTCTCCCTCAACATGCTGGTGCAGGCTGGGGGCCGCGAGCGTCCCCCGTCCGAGTACACCCACCTGCTGAAGAGGAGCGGCTTCCAGAACGTTCAGGTGTGTCGGACCGGAAAGTCCTACGACGCCATCCTGGCCACCAGATGAGCTCAGACTGACGATCAGCCGAGAGAAGCTTTCCTTGAAAGTCAGGGAAAGTAAAGAACGTTCAACTTAAACATTTTCAAGGCCTTGAAAATGTATAAATAATTTCTCAGTGTGACGAGAAAAGTCCTTCTCATGGATGTGTTCGATCATTTCAAACCACGATTCTGCTGCAGGTGGAAACTATCGGTCTGTGTTGTGTGTGTTTGTGGATTCAATAGCCAAAGAAAAATAATAATTCAATTTATTTTTATTTTTATTTGTCATGTAACGCACAATGAGTAGAAACCTTGAAGTAAGAAAAGAGTGTGAGATCAGATTTATGAGCTGGAAGACGTGAAGATGTTCTTTGTGTGTCGTGTGCGGTGATGAATTCAGGATCCCTCATAGATCGGACTTAGCAGAACCCCTCATGATAAACCTCACTTTACCTCCGTCGTACCTCACGGTGTTACAACGTTTTTCTCTGCCTCTGACACGGTGTGAACGCTGGTCGAGGGAAGAATCCATTTACTACTGTTTAAAACTGGTGCTTGGTGACGTCTGTTCTCATTCAGCTGTTTTATTTTTATCCCTGTGGACAGTCGAGACGCTGCGTTACTTTGGTGACATCACACAGACGTCTCACCATCAAACATTCATAACATCTCATGGCTGCTAAGACTTTTGCATATTGATGACGCAGTGGAGAGCTGCGTGTGAGAGGATCAGTGAGTTTATTTTTGCTTTGTGTGATTTGCATGTTATCAATCTCAAACTGTAGAAACGTATAAAAACTGTTCTGTATAAACCACAGACTGTAAATGAAGGTGGACGTCGGCTCTCAGGCGTCTCATGGTGTCAAGATCCTGCTGAGAAACGCACTTGACCAAGTCTCAGCTGTCAATCATGACTTGTCACCCTGTTTTATAGCATCAATTAACTAATTAAAACCAAACTTATCAGAAACACTTGAGCAAACATCAGTGTGATAAGAACGAACTATATTTACCTTATGACCTATATTGCAACCACCTTTATATACAGTCTATAACACATACGCTTGTTTTCTGTCCTCTGGTCAAACATGTTTGCAGCATGCGTCCCTCAGATTAAATCATAGACACATAATGTTTACCGTCTGCAAATGGATCATTTTTTCATGAAAATGTTTGAACTAAAAGATTTGCATGTGAAGACAACTCTGGCGAGGTGGAGTCTGTGGATTCAGCCGTGATTTTTCATATAAAACTTGAAAAACCTTCCTGTGTTTTCCCATGTTCTTCACATGATGTGTGTTAACACGTGGTTCAAGTGATGCACGGAGAGCGACGTGGTCAGAGAGTTCAGAGCAGACTCGGGAAAAATGTCAGGCGTGGGTGTTAAGCCTTGAAGAATCTACAGCAGAAGAAAAGACGAGAGTCCCTCTCACTGCCAGAGACCAGCAGAGACATCGACCAGAAATACATACACATTTATAGAACAAGTCTTATTTCTATTGCACATTACCGCCTCCTACTGCCTCCTACTGCCTCCTATCCCCTCCTACTGCCTCCTA